GGGAGGTGTGGGGAGGTGTGGGGAGATGTGGGGAGATGTGGCGAGAGGGAGATGTGGGGAGGTGTGGGGAGGTGTGGGGAGGTGTTGGGAGAGGTGGGGGGATGTGGGGAGGTGTGGGGAGAGGGAGGTGTGGGGAGGTGTGGGGAGATGTGGGGAGCAGACCAGTGTGTAGGTGAAGGCCCCTTGCGAGCGGGCGGCCAGGGCGGGCGGACAGGGCGGGCGGGCGGGAGGGTAGCAGGAGCAGCATCAGCAGCAGCAGCAGCAGCAGCAGCAGCAGCAGCACAGGTTAGGCCAGCCGCGCAGAGGGCAGCGAGGCTGAGGTCAAAGAGCAGCAGGATGTTGAAGTCACAAAATTGGTCGATTTCGAAGTTGCTCGAGACGGCCCGGAAATTGCCCCGCGCCGAAGCCCCGGTGTCGGCGCACCGCATCTCGGCCGCGAGGACCCGGTTACGCCGCCCAAACGAGCAGTAGGAGCTCGGGCACAACTTTGTCGACTAACAGGTTGAGGAAAAAATCGGCGAAGAAACGGCACCGGCGGTACGCCGGGACGAGCCCGGAGCGATCACATTGTTCAGAACCGCGGCGGCGAGCCGCCGCGGGCCCACAGGAGGGCTGGGAGGCGCGGCACTAGACCGCGCCGCCAGCGAGGCGAGAGCGGCAGCAGCCGACATACCCGAGTGGGACGCACGTCGGCCGTCCATTTTGGACAGAGGAGTGTGTGGACCGCTGGCGCGCGCACACTTCTCACTTGACTAGTCACTTGTAGTGGAATCCGAAACCGGTTTGTTTCCATCCACACGGGCACACAGGACACAGCGCACGCTCTAGCCCCCACACACTGCTGTGGTCTGCTGCCCGGACGCGTTGAATCGATCACACATTGGCTACACCACCCATCGATCTCGGCGCTGCCTCGCGACTTACCGCGGGCAATAACAGATAACGCCGAGGAGGGCGATATCCTCCCTCCTCCCTCTCCCACATGCGCGTCGCACTCGGAGAGCCCGGCCAGGCCTGCACCTCCCCTCAAGCCGGGTGGGGCTGCGGAGGCTGCTACTTTCGGGCCGCCTCTCGGAAGCTCGGCGGCAGCCACTTGTTGGCACCCGACGCGTCTTCGGCCGCCACCGACACGCCGCCCTTCGCATCGCTGGCAGCGGTGGGCGAGGGTCGCGCCGGCGCCGCCGACACCGCCGGGCCGCCAGTTGCGGCCGCAGCCTCAGCTCCGTGTGGCCGGTGCGGCATCCACGAGGCTCGCCGGGCCGCCCCGTCCGCCCGGGCCTGGGAGGCGAGGCTGGGCGGCGAGTTTGGCGCCAGCTGCCTCGCGGGCACGGCCGGGCCGCCCTCCGTGGACGCCACCACCGCCGCAGCCGGCGTCGGCGCCGCTGTCGCTGCCGGTGTGGCAGCCTGTGTGGTAACCTGTGTGGCTGCCGGTGTGGCTGTCGGCGCCACGTGCCCGTCCGCCCGCCGCTCGAGAAGGAGG